AACCTCTGCCTTACAGCAGCAATCTCTAGGCATTTTGTCCCTGTGTTCTGAAAGAATTCTGAAAAAGTAGGTATCATTTCACAAGTTTTAAATTGACATCTAAAATTTTCATTCTAATTTTAGATGAGCATAAAAAATATTTTTCTGGTATATCACAATACTGACATTTTCAAAGAAAATTTTGTACCACTTTAAAATGTATTCAATGACTATTAAAATGCTCCTATCTGACAAAATCTAAACAGATGAACTTCAGCAAATCAAAGTTTTTATTTTTCTTTTAGTCCTTGAGCTTGTTTCCTTTACTTCACCAACAAAATTTTATTTTAATAAAATGCGTTTTATGCTTGAAAGTCTTTCTGAACACTCTACCATACTTCTTTACAAAATAAGTGCATATTTATATAGAAATTTTATTTTTATTTCATGTGAGCATAAAGGGCAAAGTGTTAAAATCTCTTCAGAATCAAGTTAGTGTTATTAACACTACACAAGTGACAAAAAGGATTTATATTATATACGATTTATAAGTATTTTTAAGTAGAACAATATTTGGGGAGAATAATTTTATTAATTTAATGGGTAGGCTACTTTATTTTGTGTGTTCATAGTTGATTATGACTTATTGGAATATGACTGCCAGAATCATATATATAACTCGTACGGAGAAAACTTGTTTACACAAATAAGTGGATTGGAATGAAAGATAATTTTGTTATAACAATTTTTCTCAAAATCTTCAAAATTCCTTCCAAATTGTAGGCCAAAAATCATATTGTAATTTATTATGAAATTTTAAATCTAATAAGTTTAACTTAATTTTACTAGCTCTTCTTTCAGTCTTGTTGAAAGCAAAAAATTGGATCACTGGTCCACACAGAAGAACTTGTAATTCATTTTCTTTATCCCCAATACCAACATTTTGAATTTTGGTGAGTTTAGTGCCCTCAAAGATTTCACACACCTCCTTAAGCAAGTCACTGAAGATTTCAGGTGATAAAAATGTAATACATTATTTTAATAAATGAGGAAAAGTGATGAGGAAAGGGGAGGTAGCAAAGAAATAAAGGGAAATTCTCAGGCAGATTCATTTTAGTAAACAGTACTTATGGAAACTGATGACCTAGGAAGGGAGTATGTAAAAACTACCCTTGTTTCTATCTGTTTTGAAGTATTTGTGAAAGTTTGCCTGTCTCCATTTAAAGGCCACTATTTAAACACATCAAAAGGGTGCTCTACTTAAAGAAAATAAAAGACCTCAAAAAAATTTAAGAGTCTCCAAATTTATCTCAAGCTCCTCAAAATCTTGAGTTCTCTCCAAATGTAGGTATATACTAGACTGGGACTACAAAAGCAAGGATGAAAAGAAAGGAGGTGACAAAACGGTCATAGGAGGAAAAAGACATACCAGTGATCTTTAAGAGCCAACAATCTTTTGCTATTAAGATTTTTCAGGACTTTTAGATTTTAGTTAAAATGATTCTTACAATCGCCTCAAGGCCCAGAAGCTCAGACTGATGTGCATTAGATAGCAACAGAACCTTCCTACATTTCTTCCATGAAGGTTCAAGAACTCTGTAACTTTAATGGCCACTGCTTTCCCTGTTTAGACACTTTCTCCCTTTTCACTTTCACAGGATAAATTATGCATTTTGGACTCCTTTAGTTTTTATACTAGGGAGACAACATGATAGTCACCCATGTGACGCTGAACCATTTTACCCATGAGCATGATCTCAAGTTGTATCCATTTACGTACAAGTGGCCATTATTAATCTATTATTGCGATTTGAAACCCATACTGTTTTCATTGTTCTGTTTTGTTTGGTTTTATTGTTTCAGTTTGTCTAATTTTATTATATTTCATGGCATGGACAGCTATTTCAAAGATAACAAAATATATTATGGTAGCCAGTATTGATTTCCTATTAGCTTGTTTTGAAGCCCTATATTGCTTTCATGTTTCGACTGATTTTAGCCTATTTTGTTTTGTTTGATTGTATCATGTCTGATGATATAGGCAGCTACTTTAAAGATAACAAGATGTATTATGGTACTCACTGTGGTTTTACTATTATCTTGTTTTGAAGTCCTGTATTATACCCATTGTTTTGTCTTTATTGGTTTTATTGTGTACTATTTTGATTTTATTATGCCTGATGGTATGGGAATTCTTTTGAAGATAAAAAAAGGCATTATGGTAACCATTATTGATTTCCTTGTATTTTGTTTTAAAGTCATGTCCAATGGTCATCATTGTGTTTTGATTGATTCTATTGTTTTATTTCATTTGGTTTTATTCTCTTCAAAATAAAAATTTTAAAAATGAAAAAAATTCTGTAAATTTTGCTGTACACCAGAGAGGAAGGAAATGAGAATATGAATTCTTTCTCTCCCCACCCCACCACCACTCCCTCCTTCTCTCCCTCTCTCTCCTAATATGAAAATAATTGACTCTACTCTTAGAGACCTGGCTTAATTAGACTACTCTGATTTTCTGCTGGCAAAACTTACACTAAAATGGTATTGCTCTGAGTTCTCTAATTATAGAGCAATCACGCTTTTTCTTAACAGATACTAAAACCAAATGCTATAATGTTGGATGAGGTCATTGTGAATAACTTGGTGTAAGGCCTATTTTGAGGTATCACATGAATTTCAGTGAATTTTATGCAATGACAAGAAGCAACAGATTCAAAGTTTACTGTAGAAAAAATATTACTATATTATTCCTATAGTGATTAATTTCCACAAATTATTTCTTAAGAAGTATCCTCATTGATTATTAGCTCTATTCTTTCACCACCACTCCCCCACTCCTCATTCTCAATACCTTCCCAATGTCTCCTCGTTTAGGCAATTTCTTCTTCCATTTCCTTTGCCACACAGCCTGAACACTGTGATCAGCCTTTTGATAAATACTTTCTCCAGTGTTCTCAGCCCCCTTACTCCCTTGAACTTTCTGCTTGTCTTTTCTGCCAAGTCCCAGCCTGGAGTCAACCAACCATCTGTTCTCTCAATTATTGTTTTTAGCTTGCCAACTTCTGTTGGAGAAAATGGTATAACTTCTGATTCAGGGCATGGTAAATCACCAATTTGCAAACTCACATTGACCTTTAGCATTACATGGCAATCCTTTCTCTCTCATTTGATTGACTTCCTTTGACACGACTCAGGTACAATCTTAAGTCATTTCTTCTCTGAGGTTTTCTATCTTCCCAATCAACCGATGGCCTAACTTTCTACTTCACAAAAAATTAGTGTTCCACCTCCCTCCTCGCCAGTGCTAGTGGGCATCTGCAGATTTATCCAGCCTTCTCTTTATACCCAAGACTAATGCGGTGCATCAGTTATCCTGTCTCAATAATACTGAGTTTTCAAAAGCTCTTCACCATAATGTCTATGTACATCGGAATATTAAGAAATAAAAACTGCTGATTGACTATAGAAAAGACTACGTAAGATTAGCAAGTGCTCATGCTTTTTGAATCGTTTATGAGCAAGGAAAAAAAGGAAGGTGAGTTGTGTATGCTGGCTGCCTATTAAATCTTTTAAAATTCTTTCATAGTTCTGCCTGCCAAATGTCACAACATGAAATTTAAAGAGGCTATGTTTTAGTGATCGATTCCATTTTTGTTCTCTACTGTTTGCTACCACCTGTCATATATGCATTCCAAGATGCTATTAATAATAATAAGTCCACCCAGTAGTTCCTTTCAACTGTGAGAGGTTTGCTCACTTTCATTCAATCCAAATTTTTGAGGGCTATTCCTAGGGTAATTAATATGAAGTATGGTTGATCTGTTATGGTTTTTCTAATTTAAAATGATATTCACTAGGTATCACACAAAACATTCAAGTGACACGTGTTTGCTGAGAGTTTTTGTAGAGACTGTCTGCAAAGAAGCTTTGCTATATAGAATAATTAGTGGTGGTATGTATCTAAGGATAGGTCCAGATTTTGTGGGTCTTGATTGAATTCGGAGAAGTTTCTCTTTGTAAAAAACATACAAAATTATAATTACAAAAGGAATTTTAGAGCCTTTGGGAAAGATCTTGAAAATGATGGGCTTTCAGTTTATACTTCTATCAGCTTCAGCAAACTCAGATTTTTGAATCTGACCATTTAATTGGGACATTGAAGAAACTTAAACCATCTAAAAATGCAATAATATGAATTCCAAACATGAACCAGGCACGACTGTAATACAGAACTGTTGTGAGCAGAGGTGAAACACTCAAGTGACTGGTTTCTCAGAATATATAGGGCTTAAATTATCCTGGAGAACATCTCTAGAATATGGCTTGGAAATGCTCAATCAATACCTGATATTGACATTGAAGTTCACATTTGACACTTCTTCTGAAAATTCTAAATGCCTTTAAATGCCTTAAAAACTTAAAGAATACATGCACACATATGAGCACCCAAATAGATGCATAACTGTATTATCTCCCACTGACACAGGTATAGATGATATAGATGAAGATGGGATACCTTAAGGTTTATAAGATATGTGGTTCTACAAAAAGAGGAAAATGATGAATCAGAACTTGGAAGTAAGCCTAGATTACAGCCTTTGGGAGAAGAGTCTAGCTATGGAAGGACACACTCACCGTATAATACAAAATACATCTTTTTGCTACACGTCCAATGTCCTCTTATGACTTTATGACAATCAAATTTTAAAGATGGGAAAACAATGTCAATGGCTCTTACTTTACATTACTTTATGATATTCATAGCCTTTGTCAGTTTGGCTTCTATCATTTTTTAAATGCCTCTTAGAATTATCTCCTCCTCATTGTCCTCCTCTTCCTCCTCCTAATCATCATCAAAAACACAAAAAACAAAAAAAAATTAAGTGCTATGTCTCTTTATCTTTTCCCCACTCAGAACTCAGTCTTTCACACAGACAGGCATTCTACAGAGATCTGTTGCCATGGTGTTGATGAGTTATTTTTTGATAGGTCACCATTTTCTAACACAATAGGAATTCCATAGCATAGATACATTGAGATTCTATTCTCTTCACTCAAAGACTTCAGAAGAATACTCAGTGCAGTAGGCCAAAGCTAACACAAGAATTGATCTGATGTTGCTAAGTATTTTCAGTCAACAATCACCACTGATGCTGCTTAACAAGACCTGCTGACTTGTGGTCTTAGGACTATTGTGACATCAAGCTATACCTAAAATCAGTCCAATGCAACAGGAGTTTCAAGAACAGCAGCACAAAAATGATGTCTTAACTGAATAGGCAAAGAAGGCATATATTTTCAAGAAAGCCTCTTTATTCTTGGAGTAGAAGTTTCCCTTAAAGATGACAAGTGGTGCACACTCTTCGGGATCTTTTGTATCCTCAAAAAGGTGAGTTTTTAATGGAAGATGTCAAATGGCAACTATCAAGGAGAGAAATGGGGCCCTTATTAACCTGGGGTAAAGACAGATGTTACGATTTCTCTTCCCACAGAAGCTCTAAAATAGGTGACAACTACTTGAAGGAACTAAATGAGGACTTAAAGATAAGGAAGCAGGAACTTACAGAAATGCTAAAACCTCTAAAAGACAAGAACAACCTCTTATTCCAGAAGTTAATGTCTAATTTGGATGAAAAGCAAAAAAGGTAAGTGCTCCCTAGTAAGGGATACTAGAGATTGAAAGACTGGAGAATTTAATTTCCACAGGTTTAGCAATGATTATTTACGTTGCTTTGTTTCTGGTTTTTAATTTTGAATATTCAGTTCCAGTGGAATGTAAAGAAACTGTAGCACAAAATCAGGGTGAAGATGGATCCTTTACCTTTTTTTCTTTTTTGAGTAAAATTAAATCTGACTCAGCCCTCATGAGTCTAGGGTTGTTAGTTCTTCGTCCCTTGGTGCCTACCAAAGATATTTTGACCTATCAGGATCATAATGATAGCTTCTGTCTTCATACTATAGAATCACTTTAGAATAAATGACCCTGCTCTTTCTATACTAATCAGTAGCAGAGTGAATTTTTCTAAGCCTGGGAGCTGTCTGGATTTGGTCCTTGCCTCTTGTCATCATACTAGGCTGCTGAGGTCTTAACTGTTTGCTAGAATACTTACTGCTCTTGGGGTCCATCAACTCCCATTTCCTTTCTAGTCTCAGAAATCTCACCTCAGTTGGCGTACTTTCTTTATACAGGCTTTACATTATAAGCAACTAAGGAATTCAGACTACTGAAGAACATAAGCCAGGCAACAAGTTGTAGTCTGGCACCAGATGATTACAACCAGAAGCCCAGACTTCTCTCAGGGCAAGAGAACACAAAGGCCTGGTTTTCTGCTTAGATCTCAAGGGAACAGAGGACAAGGAACAAAAATATAAATTAATTAATGGCTATAAAGAATGTCGTCTTTCACAAAGACTATTTCAGATTTTTTTTTAAGGAACTTCTTAATGTTTGCATTCTATGGGGACTACCAAAGAGGAGCACGGTTTCCCCCAAAAAATTAAATGTCTGTTTGGAGATTCAAGGGTGCAGGAGAAAGTGAACAGAGATAGTATAGGGAATAAATTTAATATTTCTCCTGAAAACATTGATGATTTTTTAATCTCTTCCTTTACAGAGGAGAATCACTTCTTTTTCCCCAAATGTCATACACCAAAACATTCTTTTTCTTTTTCTCCTTTTTTTTTCTGATATTAGGGATTGAACTTATGATCTCATGCTTACAAGGCAGGTGCTTATACCACTGAGCTAAGCTAAATTCCCAGCTCAATACCCCAAAACATTCTTTGAGCGGGAAGAAAGGATTTTCACTGGCTGTTGGAGACTTAAATTTGGAGAACTGAAAAGCACAAAGTTCATTAATAAACATTTAATAATAGCAAGTGTCAATTAGGAGTGGAATCCTCCTAGTTAGAGCAACTTTCTACATCCAGAAAGACTTCCACAACTGCTGAAATTCCAGCCCCCACCTAACTTCCATGGAAGAGCACTTTTTGACTGCCTCAGGAAATGTTATACTAGCACCTAGAAGGTATTTACATTTTATGGTATCTTTCTTTAGTCTGCAGATCATGAGGCAGATCATGGCAGGGAAGGAATGTGATGAATCCTCAGTCATGGAGCTCATTCAGGAAGCAGAGGAGATGAAACAGAACCTGGTAAGAGGTTGGTAGGAAACCTAAACACAGCTCAGTTCCACTGCTGGTGACACAAGTACAAAGAAACACAGACTGCTAACTTCCTGCACCTGACGTTCCAACATTCCTATTTCTTTGAGACAGAAGGCCCAGGATGATCCAAAAGGAGTCAGATAGAATGTTGAAAAGAAAAGAACTAACAACCAAAATTCTCTTTCTTTGGCTTTTTAAAAACCTTTTCACCTAGTGGTTAATGAATATAAGCATATTAACTCTTCATACTGTTGTAGATTAGGAGACACCTATCCAAGTAAAAGAAAAAAGTGGTTTGCTCATAAAAAAAAATCTTTGATCTTTTAAAAATCAACTATATAAAGAATTTTAAAGATTATACAATATTTATCTAAGCCCCTGAGATATTGTCATATAATAAGTACCTTAGAATTTAGAACTCACTTCTTGAGGTATCACCTCATAATCCTATTTTTACTTCCAATAATATTTGTAACCATCATCATCACATTCATCTCTAGTATTCCTGGATTTTTACTAGGCCCCTTCATCATTGCCTTCCTCTGTGGTTTATTATATCCCTTGATCCCTTTGCCATCATTAATGTAGTGCTTTCTTCCAATCTCACTTTAATGTCTGCACAACGCATGTCTCTGTTTGGTCCCCCCACCAACAGGAAAGGAAAAACAAGATGCTTCGGAAGGAAATGGAGATACTATGGAACAAGGTGTGCCTCTAAGGATCTCTTGAAAGTACTGTCCCACAGATTATAATACAAAGAACCTCCCATTCATCCACCTTGGTCCTCATTTTTTCATGTCCTTGCTTCAACCATGCCTCATCCCAATGCATTCTTTCCACAGTAGCCAAATCAAATAACTATAGCATGTCACTCTTTTTATGAAAATCCTTTACAATCCTCCTTGTTGTGGTATAATCTGGCTGGGTGTCCAGTTCCTCTCATAGAAGTCCTCTCCTTCCCATGAAGCCATCACACTGGCCTGCTTGTGAATTCTCAAATATACCAAGCCTTTTCCTATCCCAAGTCGTCTGTTTTTGCTTTAAACTCACCTGTAATACTGTTTTCTTATAGTTGGTTCATTCTCATCCTTCAGGCCTCCATTTAAATGTCATCTCTTTATAAAGGGCCTCTTTGTTTTCTCCATCTAAAATAGAGAATCCTCCTACTTTCCATTATACAACTCTATTCATGTCCTCCATTGCACTTTATATATATATATATATATTTTTTTTTTTTTTCTTGCCCCTGTTCCTCCTCCTGGGATACAAGCTTCTTCTGCATCTTGGTTGCTCTGTTTGAATCCCTAATATCTGTCACAATGCTTGAATGCAGTAGAGAATCAATAAATGTAAATTGAATGAGTAATCAAATGAATGCCTAATTCTAATGCCTAATTCAATAATTTCACAACCATCACTGCATTATAATGACAAATTTAGGGCTTTGTTTTTTGTCTGGGAAGTCAGGAAAGGGAATCCTTTGTGGACTAGCCGCTGGCACCCAAGTGCTTTTTCATGGAATAGAAGAGCAGATTGTGTCTTACAATATAAACAGGTGTGTGGTGTGCTCTCTGACTGCTTTTTTTCATCTCACTTTCCAGAAATAAGAAGAATGCTTCCAAGTCCTGTACCTTATGCTGGGATCTGCTCCTTCTTCTCAGCTGCAGCTACAGATTAGTTATGTGAACTATCAGAAGTTCTAGTTCCCACGTTCTTGAGATCTTGTGACAGGAAATCCAATGCAATCCACCTTTTGCATTGCTCCCAAACTATTTTCTATAAGGGATGACCATACAACTTAGCTTGTGATACACGTTCCATACTTTTTTTTTTGAGACAGGATCTCACTCTGTACTTCAGGCCAGCATTCAATTTACTGTGTGGCTCAGGCTAGCCATGAATTGGCAGCAATCCTCTTGCCTCAGCCTCCTGAGTGGTATGATTACTAGTGTGTGCTGCCACGTCCAGCTTATCCTATTCATTCTTAGACAAGGAGAAATGGAGAACAACAGCATGGACAGTGGCTAGGAACATATGCTTTAGAGTGAGAAAGATCTGACTAAACTACAGGTCTATCACTATATAACCCTAAATAATGACTTAATCTCTCTAATGCTCAATTTTCTCACCTGTAAAATGGAAATAAAAGTAGTCCTCAAAGAACTGTGCAAATATAAAAATAATTATAATGCAGTAAAATACTGAAACTAATGTAGTAGGTAGCTCAGTGATTAACATGTACTAAGAATTCAACTAATAGTTCTTTATTATTGTAAGGTACACTCATGGTACCAAAGGGAAGGGCTCATTACATTCAGAATCCCCTTTGGTAGGTAGTACAATTTCCATGTTGGGTCCTGAGAAATTGCCAACTGGCAGGAACTGAAAGCCTTGATTCATTTTGGTTTTCCACTTCTCTCATTAATTCCAACTAATTTAAAGATTTGCCCAAATGCCTTTCCACAGACTTTTGAGACAGAAGAACATCAAGATCATCAAAAAGCACCACAGATAAAAACCACAGCACACTTGCAGGATGGAAAGGCAAGTAGACTGGATACACTAAGCATGTCACGTATGGTAAACAGCCTGTTGAAAATCAAGGCTAATTTGGTAGGCAGATAGGCGGAATCCAGGGTTTTAGGATTTATGGTTTTCTAAGACATTGAACTTTTTTTCATGGGACCTCCTATTTCTTTAGCTCTCTACTTTTTTTACCCCAGGTCCCTAAATCCCCCTTATCACCTAAAAAGCCCGAAATGAACTAAAGATATCATTTACAGAGAAAGAGAAAGAGATAAGACAGGTAGTGTTTTCTGGAACTGATAAATTAACTGAATTTAGCTCTGGTATACTTCTGAACCAAATGGATTTTTATAAGCAATTTAGTTCTCCTGTAATATATCTGAGTTACAGTGTCATTACAAGTTTCTAGGAAATCATTTTAGCTAGGAGAAAGTTAGAAAAACTACACCAACAATTACAGCTCCACAGTAGCTATGTGATATCAGAACACTTGTTAATTTGTCTTGGAAAATTGACCTGGGGGTACTATATTTGCATTTCATCCTCCCATAATGATCTTATTCACAGAAAATGGCTGTTCATTTACCTTTTAGCTTTGAGAAAGTGGATTGCACAGAGGAAGCAAATTAAGATGATTTTGCAATTGAAGCCTGTCTCGTAGTAAATCTACACAGCATAATTTCACTATAAGGTTACTCAGAAAATTGAGAAAACTGATTTTTTTATCTCAATTTACTTTATCACCCAGAGGCTCTTTCTTCCATCAGGAAAAGAAACAGAGAAAAATGGAATGGGTCAAGTATCAGGAACAAGCCAACAACCTTCAGGTATTAAAGTCTTCCCAGGCTGGACATGGGACACAGTTTTGCTTACACAATAAGTAAATTTTAGTTTAAACCCAATCTCCTCATCCTGGGTTATAAGCTGTATTGCTAAAAGAAATGTATCACCTGGAGATGACTGAAGTGGTCTATCTTTAGCTTTATCTTGAATTACTTGGAATAAATAGTATTTCTTCCTATGTCCTTGATTATGTTCTATTTAAAACAGAGGGAGGGGAAGATAATATACACTACTGAACAACTTTAAAAAATTGACCATGAAGGGTTTACTTTTAAATTTCTGCACAACCATTCAGGTATCAGTGGATTTATGATACTAACATTTAATTTAGTATCAGAATATAATATCAGAAGCTGATATTATATGAGTAGTTTGAAAAATGTCCTCTTTCAGAACAGAAAAGTGATTGAATTGAGAATTGAAGCCTTGAAGAACTATCAGAAGGCTAATGACCTGAAATTATCACTGTACTTACAGCAGAATTTTGAGCCAAAGCAAGCATTTTTGAATATTCCAATATCCCAAGGTAAGTACACAATTTGAGGTTTTATTTTATTAACACTGGAGATTCTATTTCTTATAAAGTAACACAAGCCCTAGCACACAGAAAATTAAATGTTAGTATCATAATAATAAAATTCTTCATTATCATGATTATTAGTAGCAGTCAGAAGCTATTATACTAAGGTAAGAGTTCTCTCTGAAGAAAAGTAGGCTGATCTTATAAAGATAAAGTAATATATCTAATACTTAATATATACAAATGATAACAGAGTTGACATGATAAAATATTAGTTACCTTCTCATCTTTCCCTTTTTCTACAAATTAAGAGTTGTTTCATTTCATGAATCTTATAGTAGCAGACTCTGCTACTTCAGCACAGATGATCAAGGGAATAGATACCTGAGAGTGGTTGTAAATTTACCAAGCCAGATGTTCCCCTAGGAGTTTGAGCAATTTCCCTTACAGAATTTATGTCATCATTTTAGGAAATCATATAGGGTTGTAGAAAAAAATAAAAAAGCCAAGCATAGTGGTGCACACCTGTAATCCTAGTACTCAGGAAGCTGAAGCAGGAGGATCATAGGTTCAAGGCCATCCTGAGCTACATAGCAAGTTCAATGCCAGCCTGGATTAGATAACAGAAACATGACTCAAAAATACAAAACAACAATAAAACAGTAAATGAATGGCTCTGGTGGCCAAAGAAAATATTCTTAAATTTTCATGTATTCCTGAGTCTGAACTTTGTATAATGGACACATAATGGGAAATTGTAACTAAGGGATGACAAAGTTCTATCAGTAGTAGTGTTTATATTTCTATTTTCTACTCAGTCTTATTCCACAAAAGGCTTGCATGCTTATAAAAATCACATACACAACACATAGGGTTAAATAAATAAGTGAGCAAATTACTATCATTGTTATTATTATTATTATTATTATTATTATTATTATTTTGTTTCTCGGTCCCAGGAATCAAAACTCATGATCTCATGCTTGCCAGGCAGGCACTTATGCCACTGAGCTAAGTTCCCAGCCAATAAATGAGTAAATTAAAGGAAAATGCATGATGGGAATACTATGTAGTTGGTAGAGATCAGCTATAAATTTGATTCTGCATTCCCCAGCAAAAAGAAACATGAATTTACACTGTTCACTATGTAATAATAAAGCAATTGCTTAGCAGAAATGGCTTTCTCTTATACTGAGACCTGAAATTTTTCCTCCATATTTTCAGTGTGGGGACAGAACCATGTATATGTGATAACAGTAATCAATATCCCCAATTAAATTTTTAAATGAATTCTGAATCTAAATTTCCTAGATGGTTTCTTATCTGTTCCTTAGCACAATTTGATAGCAAAGTATTAATCTAAAATTGTTTAAAGGAGATAGATCAACCCAAGACAATTTGGTTACACACCATATAACACTCTGCCTGATTCACAGGTAAAACTTAGAAAATCTAGAGAACTAGATGGACTACCTATCTTTCATGCAGTGTTTCTCCAGCATTTCTCTTTTAAATTTTGTTTTGAATCAAATTGAACAGCAAAAAGTCAGACAGAAAAAACCTAGAATGCAACCAGAAGCAATAGAAAGTCATTAAGAGAAAAGGAAGGCTCTGCAGACAGAAAGATTTCTAGTTTATCTCATTAAAAATTAGCTAAACATTATACAAAGGGATCCTTTAAAGATCCAAAAGTTTTTAAATTCCAGATTCAAACCCAGATAAGAATATATAGTGAAGGATTTCATTCAATTTGAGAGCATCAGCAGATTTGTTTTTCCTTGCTTGTAGAACACTGAATCAATTTTAACTGGGATGACCTACCCACAGATCAACACCTTCCTCTCCTCTTATAATCCTAAAGAAATAAAAATAGGGTACCACTGGCACACACCTATAATCCCAGCACTCTGAGGTAGAAGGATCACAAGACTCAGACATTGTCTCAAAATAAAAAAATAAAAATGACCGTAGATGGGAATGTAGATCAGTCCAAAGGCCGTTAGTTCAATACCTGGTACCAGAAAAATAAATAAAAAACACAAACAGAAAAAAGAGAAAGGACTATACTGTTCAGTTACCTCAAACTTAATATAGCCACAGACATAACTGGCCTACTAGTCCCATGTTTTATTATACATTCACTGAGCATTGGTCATAGTCCAATTTCATATTCAAAATTTCAGGGTTTGTTTGAGCCCAAGTGTATCTGTTAGCTAACAGTCCTATTTGCTTATTATAACCTCGAGTTTGATTATTAAAACAAAAAAGTTTAAAAGAAATCATATTAAGAGATCAACAGTGACATGAGGGAAGTACTGTAATTTTTTGATGCTTAGTGTTTCTCAACTTTATATGCTGCTTGGACTATTTTTTTTTCAATTTTTGCTCTTTAGAGTAACTTCTTTTTTCATAAATGCATTCCTCAAAAATAAAATGTATATTACTATTTTAAATGAAAACCTAACTTTATCCTAGTGGCATCTAAAATCATCTCCTCATTTTGAGAAGTTGTAATTTAATGAAAAAAGCACTAAATTTAGAGTCAGAGGTATGAGTTGCATGCCTTGCTCTGAGAGCTACCAATTATATGACCTGATCAAGTCATTTAGAGTTTTTCTATGTCTAAAACAACCATAGTAATTTATAGATCATGTTAAAAAAAAACTTCTCACTTTTTATAATTTTTACCATGATTGTATGTAACACATAGAACAAAAAACAAAGAAGATAGGCTTCTTACTACATGTGCAAAGCTCAGCTCTTCCAGACTTTGGGTATTTCCAGAGACTATGCCATAGAATGGCAGTGTTAAAGTACAGGATTCTTCATGCCTTTTCCAATCCTACAAGTTATGATTTAAATCTAAACTAATGAGCTATTGAAGTCATTATCCTGTTGATGAAGAATGAAAGTCCCTCCCTCAAAGGTTCATTTGTTCTACAGCAAAGAAAACAGTTACTAAATAGATTAAGGTAGATGTAATTCTGCATTTCTCCCAGTAGGTGGCACAAAGCACAATTAGGCTTCAAATCCACTTCAAAAGGAGGTAATTCAGGAACCCTGAAGGGGCTGTGGAACTGGCTGAATTTCTATGTTAGAATGTGCCACATTTATATACCAAATTTAAAAAACAAAAACCAACCTATGTATGTTTTGTGTCATTGCCTAGGGTAACAAGTTATATTACAACATTGGTTAAATCACATTAAATTCAATATTCTATTGTATAATTCTTATTATGAATTATTCTACTCCTTGAACATCAGGACTTTCCATTCCACAAAGCAGTCATGGCCCATTTTCTCCACAACACTCTCTCTCTCTCTCTCTCTCTCTCTCTCTCTCTCTCTCTCTCTCTCTCCTTCCTCTCTCTTTGGTACCAGGAGTTAAACTCAAAGGACCTTGTGCTTGCCAGGCACTGTGCTGCTGAGCTATATCCCCAGCTTGCCTCCTCAATACTTGGTTAACACTGCTTCTCTCTACCATAGATAAACTGGATGATTAGGACACTTAAGTTAAAAAGTTTAAAAAAAAAAGGGAAGTTGTACAGGAATTATTTGAATGTAAGTACTTAATAGTGCTCCAATTATATCTTTCCTTTAACTTAATAAGAATGGAAATTTATAAACCAGTCTTACAGAAAAGGTAATATGCAATTTTGGATACTACTACCGGCAAATGAGTGTACTAGCCCTTCAGTTCTAGACATTTCCCAGTAGAGAGAGGCTTTACCCTACTACTCTTGGCCAAGAATCTCTCCTCCTCCTTGTCCAGTGTGCTGGCTAACTGAGCTACAGTGGTGTGATCTACTTGGCTAGCAAATATTAATGACTTTGTTATAATTCAAGCAAGCTCTACTCAAGAATTCTCTTTAGCCCTGGATGTAGCATTGCCATTGGGAGTCTTGTTTGCTTAGCATATCTGCATCACCTGTCTTCTAAAAGGAAGAAACACTTTTCTGTTGTTTGCACAAAGGGAGAAATCTCTGGTTTTGGTTATTCCCAGAGACAGGTCATATTTAAGGAGGTTTACTTCTCCTAGCAATATAAAATTTATAATTTGACTCAGGGTGTACAGCAGGCCCTTTCTGGCTTTTGTGGGATCAAGAGAGCAGTTTGTGGCCTTCAGTGATCACCTATTTTAGAAAGCACGTGCACTAAGCAATCTCTAAATTCAGCTGAATTTCCCCGAACATCTGATGGTATATAGACAAAATTTAACTTCAGCCATAATGTAACTTGTAATAAGATATTTGATTTTGATAATATTTTCTCTCCTCCAACTCCAACTGTTGGCATTTTCTTCAGCTCCTTGAAAAGAGACAGAAAGGTCTTCCCTGAGAAGAACCTGAGAGTTGTGTGTGGATATTATGTTTCATTTAGGAATTATGATGAAAGTCCATGACATAGGAAGTGAATTCTTGACATCTTCTTTACTCAATAATCCTTTGCTCTGAAAGGAAGTCATTCCTCCTGCCTTTAACCTTAACTCCACTTTACTATTATTTTTCCTGATGACTGCAATACATTTTGGCAGATGCTTCTGAAAGAAAAATAGCAGTTAAACTACAATATTGAGAGACAGGGACAGAAAACTACAACTTCTTTAACCTAGTTTTGCTCTCAAGTACAGGTTTTTGTTTTTAGGCAACCTGAACCTACTGAATATTAGAGTTAGTTTATAGGGTTAGTAGGTAATTCCTAAGCTAGGCTTTCTTTTGCTTCTCATAAAGCCTCACACAAATTGGGGAGTGGGGAACAGAATCGTTTTTTCCCTTCTGAATATAAATTTTGGTGTTTTAAAAATCTAAACTGCATCCTTATTAATATCAGAATTATTTTAGCGGGGTCACAATACATTGAACTTGTTTGCATTGCACACCCAGGACAACAGCAAGATGTCTAGGATAAGGTGGTCATATTTAATTAAAAGAGGATATTTGGTTAAATTTCAGTGTCGGTTAAATGATAGGCTTAGTGTCAATATGTCCTGAATATTGCAAGGGACATACTGATACTGAAAATTATTGGTATTTATTGAATTTCAAATTCGACTGAATGTCTTAAATTTGAGTCTGTAGCCAGGCTATGAGGTCTACATTGCACGTTACAATTCTCCTTATACCTTTTTTTATCATCTCCTTTCTCCCCTTGGCCTGTACCGTCATTCTCCGTTTGCCCTTTGCCTTGCCCGATCCTCACCCTTACCTTTATCTTTTGTTTTCCTCTAATCTGAATTGATCTTTTTTATGGGACAGATGTCTGGATTATCTGAGGGTATATGTATACATAATTTATCATTTCACTTGCTCATTTAAGTGCTGTATTAGAAGTACATTTCATAGATTCTCAAGTTGTTTTTATTTGCATGTAGTGCTTATGAGGACATAAATTTTCAACAGAAAATAAAAGGACTAGCACTCCAACTTTAAAATGATGCTTAAAGTTCTTTTTTGTTTGTTTGTTTCCTTTTTATTGGTACCAGGGATCGAACTCACAACTGCCTGCTTGCAAGGCAGGCACTTATGCCGCTGAGCTTAATCCACAGCCCCTAAAGTTATTTTCTAAAATAATTAGAAAATTTATCGTTCTTACAATAAGACAATTACATACTATGATGGATGTTAGTAGTTTTGCAACTTAATATGTAGGGTGTTTTCTCAAAAGAAGCTATTTTCCTAATGATTTCCATCAGGTACTATGGACAAAACAACTATGGGCAAAACAACTTGTGACAGAAATAAACCCAATATGGTAAGAATGACTTTCTTTTTTTAAAATTTCCTATCTTAAAGGATTGAATAGATAATTGACATAGATTTTCATAAGGTGTGTGTGCAGGGTTTTGCTGTTGTTGTTGTTGTTTTGGTTTTTTTGGTAGTGTTAAGGATTGCTAGCCAGCCAAGGCAAGCCAGAGTCACGCTAGACAAGAGCTTTACTAAACCCGTTTCTCTCAAAAGAAAACCTAATCAGAAAGCAATTATCCTCGAAAACTAGACATCAAAAGTTCCACCCACTATCAGCCTACAAAGTAGCCATCCTTGTGGGGAAAAAGGAACTCTCCTGCACTGCTGATGGGAGTGTAGACTGGTACAGCCTTTGTGGAGATCTGTCTGGAGATTTCTCAAAAAGTTGGGACTGGAAATCCCATTTATTCCAGCTATTCCACTTCTAGGCATATTCCCAGAAGAACTGAAAGCATCATACCACAGTGATATATGTGCACCTATGTTTATAGCAGCACAATTTGTAACCGCCAGATCTTGGAAACAACCCAAGTGTCCATCAACTGAGGAATGGATAAAAAAGTTGTGGTATTTCTATACAATGGAGTATTATTCAGCTATAAAGAAGGATCACATTGAGATATTTATCAATAAATGGGCACAGCTTGAGACCATACTCATTAGTGAAATAAATCAATCTCGCCTGTGTGAATACCGAATAGTTTCCCTGATGTAAGTAATGATTCAAATATATAAAAATAAGTGGTAATCATGATTCCCCATTAGGTGGCCTTGAAGCCTTATAAAGTTTTCACTCATTAATTAGAAAGGCTTTATTCTGGGCTTCTTGATATGAAAATATTTGAAGCTAGAGTATATGAAGTTTTATCCAAACATTTCAAGGAAAAAGACAGACACTATGGTAACTACTATTAAGTCGGGTTATATGGTGGTGAAGTACTAGGTTGCTGAAACAGTCATGCTTTGACCTCTATTGTTATATTGCTTTGTCCTGTTTTATCTTAATCTCTCCCTTATTGTTTTAAAAAAAATTTAGTCATTTCTTATGTTTGTCTTAATTAAAGAAAAAATTTTAAAAATTAGGATATATAAATAGTAACTCTTTTTGATTTCCTATTAACTTGTTTTGAAGTCCTGTAGTACTCCCACGATCTTGTTTTGACCGATTAGACTCTGTTCCATTCTATATGATAGTAACAAGTTTGAAGACATAGGCAACTACTTTGAAGGCAATAAGATTCACTAAGATACCCATTCTGGTTTGACTATTGTCTTCTTTGGAAGTCCTGTAATGTTTACAATGCCTAAGTTTTATTGGTCTTGTTCTCTACTGTTTTGTCCAACTTTATAATATCTAATGAGATAGACAATTCTTTTTAAGGAAACAAGGGACAACGTTGATAACCATTGTTGATAACCTTGTACTCTGTTCTACATCATGTGCTATGTCTATCCTTGGTTTTGACTGACAACTTTGTTTTGCCATATTTGACTTTATTCTCCCCCCCCCAAAAAAACAAAAACAAACAAACAACAAAAAAAACCAAAGTAGCCATCCTCCAAGAGAACAGTGATGAGAAGTTAGTTAAAGATAAGCTGATTGGGGCTGGCATTTTTGACCTCTAGTTTTCTGGTAGACATTTTTTGTTTGTTTTTTAGTAGTAGGGATTGAATTTGTGACACACACTTGCATGGCAGGTGCTTATGCCACTGAACTAAATCCGCAGCCCTGATCTCTAGTTTTCAAGGCTGATTATTTTACAGCTAGGTCTTAATTTTGGGAAAACACGGGTACCTGGGCTCATCCCAAGATCTTCGGTGGAGTTAACATGCATTCTAATTTAATAATTTTTAGAAGCTTTGCACTCATTGTTTGATTTTTTTCTCTTTTAGAGAATTCTGGGATCAAAAATCTGCACAGAACATCAAGGAGCTAAAGAATGTCAGTGTGATGATACAGGAGGGAGGCACTTTTTTCTGAGGTCACTGTCGGATGAAACTCAGGATTAGAAGGCTTTAACTCCATTTGCTTTGGACAGACTAGGCACAGCCATTTGTGTTAATTAAAATCTCTCAAACCTTTGCTTTAGTGCTGTTTTCTTCTCTTTCCACCACCAATATGGGTGGAAACTTAGGTGGCTGACCTTAAGCATGTCGGGAATTTAGTCATTAAGGATTGTAAATAGTCATTTGGGGCTATTTTGTTTGCGTTAGGATTTGAGATGACTAGATTGAAAACACACTCCATGTAGTTAAATCTATTAACAGTTCTTCTTTACCTATGAAATATTTAATCTGGGGCAGATTCACTGCTGGCAAGAGTAGTATTTACAAATAAATTATTTCTCTATCTGCTCTTGCTGTCTCATCAACCACATCTAACTGCTCTGTTGATTCCACCTTCCCAGTGCCACCGTTGTAGCTCAGGTCCTCTTTTTTTGCCTGGATTACCAGCCTTTTCAATGGTCTCCTTGCTTCCCCCAAGTCCATCTTTTGCAGTACTTCTGAAGATGATGTTTTAGAACAAGAAATAAGAACTTGTCATTCCCTTACTGGTTTTTCACTATTATGAAGACTAAATTCCCTTACAGATCTGCCTCCTGCCTACTTCCCCAGACTCACCTTTCATGGTCCGCCTCCCTTCATGTATCCTACACTGAACTCTACATACGGTTCCCCTGAAGTACCACGACTCTTATCTCCATGCACAAAGCTTAAAGATGGTCTCCCGGCTTGTTTGACCGTTGCCTATTTTTCTTAATGACTGAGTTTAGTGCTCTTCTGTCCCAGTTATTCTTAATTTTGTGTATTAAAATACCCTAGTGAGCTTCTAGCATTTCACAGGGGCCTTCCCCAAATCACGTAAAGCATGATCTCTGAGGGATAAGGATCTGTAGTTTCAAAAAAGCTTTCAGGAAATTCTAATTTGAGCTAGGTTTGGGAGTCATCGCTCTAAGCTTTCTCCTGTTATAGTACTTGATGAACATATTACAATTTTTAAAATGTACTCAGCTCTGTCTCTAATCAGATGGTGAGCTCTTTGAGGCATAAGACTATGCCTTGTTTATCTTTTTATTCTAACCAACCAACTCCATATGGGGATTTAGTAGAGACTTGGTAAACAATATTGAATGAGGTATTTAATTGGTGAGTCTGTTTTGATGTACTCTTATATAAAATACTGGATTATATTATCATTCCTGAGATCTTCTTTTGCCATAACTGTTAATTTTCTATCTCATGTCAATATGGGAAAGTGTATTTAAAAATGCTTCATTATCCTTAGAAATTCCTTATCATTTTGGTAATAAGCAAAGTAAGAAAACCAAATTCAAAAAAAATTTTCCCCCATGGTTCAGTTTAAATCCTTAAAGTGCATCTTAAGAGTACTTTTTTAAAACTTTTTTTTTTTTCACGTGGGGTGGAGGGGTTACCAGGAGTTGAACTCTGGACTTTGCAGTTGCCAGGCTGCTACTGCACCCATGCCGCTGAAGGATATCCCCAACCTCCTTAAAGGTAGTTTTAAATGTTACTTTTGACTGGAGAAAGTTTACAGGAAACCATAGAATTTGGTCATCAGTTTCTTTACAACAGTTTCATCCAGTTTCTTTACAAAAGAAACTGGAGTTTAGTTACATTGCAAAGGTGTTCAAAGACTTAATTAACTGGAGTCAGAGCTACTTACCAAAGCCTGGGAAATATTTCTGCTATTCCAGTTTAACTCACATCTTTCTTCTCCTGACCACAAAAACAACACTCTCCAAAGCCCTGAGATGATTAGTTCATGTACTGCCAGCTGAGTTACCTGGGCATATAGTCCAATTTTGGTTTCAAGAAAACCACCTCTGCAGATTAGTCCCTGGGAGACTTTAGACAGTTTTGAGATTTTCCAAATCGACTTAGACAAGGAAATGAGAACAAAAGAAAGGAATACAAAATTTGACTTCTACTGACTACTTTGAACTAGTTGCTTAACACAGGGTCTTAGATTTCCAATTTAAGATTAGATTAAAAGGGCAGCATTTAAATGTTTTAAAAATTACTTTTAAACTACAGTTTAAATTAATATATAATATCCATTCTTTGTTGTAGTTAAATAGGGCATGAACAAGTAAACTAGTTTACTTGCTAGCAGAGGTTTATAATTTCTTTAAAAATGAGTCATGTTATCCCATTGTGGTTTACATCTAGATGTGCTTGAAGGTGTGCTTTGGAGGTGGTTGGATCTAGGGTATATGAATATGGATTAAGGGTATAGGTCTTGTAGCCTGGAAGCTCACTGCTGCTGCTGGCCTTCTACTTGCCATGCCCCTCTGCCCAGGAACAAGCTCACTATGGACTGAAACCTCTAAAAAATGTAATCTTCAACAAACCTTTCCTCCTTTAACTTGTGATTGTTAGGCACGATGTCTCAGGGGCGAAGAAAGACATCTCCAAAGTACAGTAATAATAAGTTCACTATCAGTCAGGCCTATCATCTTTCCTTCAAATGCTAAGAACCTTTCAATTTCTTGAAAATAAAAAACTGAAGTATTACAGTATTTGATCACATTTGTTTTCAAGATTTCACAGTAGAATCTAATTTTTACTGATAGCAATCCAAAGTTGTCACTTAGATTGACTATTTGTCAAACAGGTATGTATAGTTTGGTGAATTAACAATATGGATCTCACTTTTTTGGATGAAGATTTATTTGGTTAACTTATCCAAATGATCAGAAACTACTCAAGCTATTTAATTAATAAACCAAAACTGGAAAGAAAAAAGTTGGAGAAGCATGTGTATGTTGAGGGAGTCTTTGTACATTGTGCAGACTGGCCTTGAATTGTGATCCTTTTGTTCCAGCTTCCTGAGCAGCTTGATCAACCAAATATTAATTTAAACTACCGAGAGGGTTACGACTTCCAATTTAGACTATCTCTGCATTTAGGACATCTCCATTTTAAAATAAAGTTACAGGGAACTAAATAAGCACAAAGTATTTGGGGCTGAAACATTAATATGTGGTACTTTGGTTCAAGAATTTAATTCATTCCATGATTCTGGGGAAGATGGTTGCATCTGTGTTCCTTACCTGACAGAGCTTGCAAATGGAAGCAAAATTTTGTTGATTGCTTCTTTTTGTGAACCAAATTGTTTGTGAACAGAACCATTCATGAACTGAGGTAGTGCTGTATTATAATTTTATTTATATTCACAGTATTCCAATTTCTGAGAATAAATCTGATATTCTCTGAGGATAATTCTGATATACTTTTTCTAATTTCAGGGCCAGCTGAGAAAAATGCTGTAATTATCAACCCTTAGAAACCATAACTTTGGTGATACTATCTTTGTGGTGTATTTTCATTTATATTATTTTGGTTTTCTAGCTATTCAGAAGATGTTAATACCTCACCTGCAAATGTGGTTATTTTACAATGACCACAGCAATTAAAAATTTGTCTTAAATGAAGTAAGGTCAACAACTTGATACTTTCCTTGCTTAGTATAGGATTGCAGTCTTCAGAGGGAAAATTACAGTGTATAACATTTTTGCCTTATGTTCTTAGGTCTAGGTCTAAAATTCAGGTTTAATATTGTCTGAACTATGGCCATGTTAGTGTTTTATTTTATAGGTAGATACTTCTGCAATCTGTCATGTTCCAGGCAAATTTCTAATATGCACTTTGATACACTGGGGAAAGCCTGCATTGGTTCTAATTCACAGACTATATGAATACAAATGTTCTGCATTTAGTAATCAAACATTAGAAAATAGGAAGATATTCTAAATATTTTGCATTGGAAAGACTAACCTGTCAATGTCACAGGAGAGATGCTCAAGTATGTATCAAGTATATATATACAGGACAACTAAAAAAAATCCACCTTTCTTTCAAAATGCACTTATGTTCTAACATTGAAAACTTTCACTTATGTTTAAGCAGAAAACACAATATAAATGTTCCTATACTCCATATTTTGTTATTAATCTATATTGTAGAAGATGAGGTTAGTGTATTAGTAAGCTTTCTTCTCACAGAGACAATACTTAATACAACTGAAAGGAGATTTAATTTGGCTCACAGTTCCTGAGAACAGAGCCCATGGTTAGCTGGCCCCAAAACAAAAACAACAGGGTAGAAACATGTGGCAGCACAAAGATGCTTAGTTCATTATGGCTGGGAAGCAGAACTAGGGGATACTGCCACAAAGAATCCAGGACCATGTCTTCATCATATGCCTAGACCTACCCAGATGTATATTCCACCAATTCCCTGGGTAGATCAAAAAACCAGTCAAACTGACACTCCCATCTTAACAGTTACACTTACAATAAGAAAATCACTTTATTTCTGCATATTGCTTTTAAAGAAAAAACATATTTCTGGGGAAGGTAGACTTAGTAAGGTTTGGTTACATGGCAACCAATTACTGTACTAATTAAAGAAGAAAACCATGATGCTTTCAATTTGTTTTAAAAAATCTTAAGTCAATCCATATCAGTTTTTATACTTTGGACTGTTTTCATGATATACGTTGAATCTTGTACATATACACTGAATGTCCATTCTGAAAGCATTGTAGACAGACCTTTAGAAGGAATGAAATAAAAATAGCAATAGAACATCAGCAATGTGGTAGATCAACTAATGGTCAACATGTAGCACCCAACTGAACTGAACCAATTTGGTTCTGGCTGTGCATGACCCATCTGGTTGTTGCCAACAGCATAAAAGGCGATCTGGAGAAGATGGTGTGCTGTTGATTCTCCTGGAGAAGCTTGTCATGCTGGTTTTCCTCCAATATGAACTCAGCTGTTCTCATTGTTGGACGACCTTTAGTTCTTGCCATCGTTGAGGATGGCTGTGGTTCTTTTCTGGGGAGCTCTGGCCCTTGTGTGTAACTTTCTGACTCCAGTGCAAATGCCTCAGCTCGGTGGCACAGATCCTTCATCTCACTGGTGCAGACTTTCTACCTTCCACCACTGACCTCTGGTCCTTCTCAGTGCAGATCCTTGGTATAGACTTGCATGAGACACTGTCAAGGGCTCTAGGCCCTCAGCTGGATTATTTGGGTCTCTAGTGCATGGACAGATCTCTTGCACTCTTCTGCATTTGACTTTTTAGGTGACTATTATAAAATAATCCTATAAATTATGTGTCCTAT